AGATGTGTATTTAAAAGAGCTTAAAATGCTCAGATCGGCGGAGCACCACGGGTCACTCACGCATTTCAAATCTCAGGCTGTAACTATACTATTGGTGCGTTGCTTATTCAAAGAGTGGCGTTTATTCAAGCATTTACGGGTTTTGTTTGTTTTTTTTACTAAAGGGCAAGCCCAGCACGAATCTAATTATTATTATTATTATTATTATTATTATTATTATTATTATTATTATTATTATTATTATTATTATTATTATTATTATTATTATTATTATTATTATTATTATTATTATTACAGTATTAATATTATTATTATTATTATTATTATTATTATTATTATTACAGGGTATTATTATTATTATTATTACAGGGTATTGTTATTATTATTATTATTGTTGTTGTTGTTGTTGTTGTTGTTGTTGCTTTTTTATGTAGAGCAGTATAAGAGTCATTGAAAACCTTTTATTATTAATTGTGTTATTGACTTGATAACTTTATGGTAATTAAAATTTAATTTTTATGTATGTAATGTATTTTGTTGTTTAGGGAATTATCATTTTTGGGTGCAGAGTTGTAAGACCTCAAGAAAAGAAAATTCCAATATTTTGTTCAACTTTAGGAGGCGCTTTTTCAAAACAACGCTGATCTGCTTGTGGTGTGGTGAGGATTCGTGGTGAGTGTTCGTCCATGATCTAAGGAAAAGAAGAGGTAGAATACCCGTATTGACTTTTTGAGACCGGTTAAAAATAGGTGTTGGAAACTTACATTTTCCCTAAGCTTTTGGCTAGGCCTAGTCTCATTTTTTATTTACGTGAATATGGCACAAAAGAGTTTCAGTTTTGATTACGAAAGTGGTGTGGTTTGTAGAATTCCAGATACCCTGAAAGACGATGCTGTGCGGGAAAGCGACCAGGTTGTTGTGGACATAGATCATGCGAAACGTGAACATGAAAAATATATTTTGACGCTAAGAAAATTAAAAATAAATTTGTTAGAACTAGAAGCAGACGAAGAATATCCAGATTGCTGTTTTGTAGAGGATATTGCAGTAATACACGATGGAGTTGCGTTGATCTGCAAACCTAAATCACCAAGCCGTAGGGGTGAGGTAAATTACCAAACAGCCTTTTTATCTTGCACTGGTACCACTACTAGGCCTAGTACATTCCTAGTACCACCCCATTACCACCAAGTGCTGCTTACTAGCCTAGGCTAGTAACCTAGTCCTTCTTCTAGGTTACTAGGCTATCTATAGTTAGGCTAGGCCTACATGTATTTGTTTTTTCTGTTACCAGTCCGAGGCCTAGAGAGTCCTAAATATGATGTAACCTAGGCCTAGCTAGGGCAGTAGTATTATTATGAAAAGACCGTTTCATCCGCGATGTTTGTAACAGTAACACATCTATCTTCAGTCAGTTAGGCCTTTGCACTTGTCAGTTGTGTAGTCACCCCCCCCCCCCGCGGACCTGACCATAGCACGGCCCTAGCCCGGACTGAGCCGGGCCGGGATGTACACATAGTTGTGTCCCCATAGAGCCGGGACGTACCTATAATTTACCCATAGATGTAACGGGCCGAGAATTTTACAGTAGCCGCAGTTTCGGGTGTGTAGGCCTAGCCTACTAGGCAGGTGCTGTCAAACCGGGTCTGGTTCTACTAGCCTACACTAGGCCTGGCATTCAGTCAACACTGTCTGTTTTGGTAATTAAAAAATTGCCTACTGGTACTTTAGGTCTACCATCATGGTTTCATTTTTTATAGATCACAGTATAAATTACATAATAAAAATTGAACCTCCACCCACACAACGCTGAGGACCGTGGTGGCGGCGCGTGTGAGTGTGTTGCATGAAAATTTGTGAACCATGCATAAAAAATACATGAGCCAAGGATAGGAAATTTGTTTCTACTACATGTATTCATTTCTTATTTAGGCCTAATTTCTGTTTTGATATTGAATGATAAAATTCTATCAATCAGTTAATTATTCAATCAATCAATTATTTTCTTTTTCTGTGATCAATCTGTCAATCTGTCTCCTTTTTGTTTGCACTTTTCCATGTCACCGTTTTGAAAATTACATCCCCGGCTAAGTCCCCACTACGCCCGCGTCCGGGGTGTCCGGGACTACAATTGATAAGTGCATTACGGCTGTGGATATAGGTCTATTTACGTCATTGTAAACAGCTGATAAAATGATACGTTTACGTCATTCATTTGCGTATGTGTAACAAATCTCCTTTTCGCTGAGTGTCTCATCGATGGATCGTGTCAAAGTCGTGTCTGCGCTAGCATATTAAAACTTATCGCTGTGTTTCTCATCGATGGATCGTATCTATGCAAAGTTGTGTCTGCCCGGTTACCTTGCCAGAATGTACTTGATAAATAAACAAAAAAATTTCCTTTTCATACTGTCATTTATGTTATAGTTGTTTTCATTTAGTAGTAGTGGAGTAGTATTTTATCAAAGCACTTGTGTAATTTACTATACCTTTGCTAGCTTGCTGTGATCATAACACTGTACTGTATACAACAGTACAGTAGTAGTATTGCAGTATTATTGGTGTTTACTTGTAATAATAATAAATAATACCCAAATATTTATATAGCGCCAATTCCAACGAATGATCAAAGGCGTTGAGCGTTATTACCCTGGTCACTGGATAACATACAATGGCAAACCAGCACAAAGTGCAACCTTCTCTGCTCCCTAGGGAGTATACCTAGTTGTTCGCTACTTATTTAGCGCACAAAACTAATACATTCAATGCCACAACATCCTACCAGGTACCCATTTATACTTCTGGGTAGAGAGAGACAAATGTAGATAAAGTGCCTTGCCCAAGGACACAAGCGACATGCACAGCGAGAGTTTCGAACCCCTGACCTCAAGGTTGGGATTCCAATAATAAATTATGGATGCGATTAACTGGAATATGACTGTTTTCTGTACAATAGTTACAAAGTAACTTTATATCTGAATTGGCTGCGTTATCTTATACAGAGTATATTTCTGTGTACTTATTGCTAGTAGGTTAATATGCCTGCTACATTGTAAACTGCTACACCGCAAAAGAAAAGAATGTTGGTAAGTGCCAACATTCCCTATTGTTCAATAAAAAACATGTTGGCAACATTGATGGTATATTTGTATTATTATCCCAGTGTACCTTTTTGAATGGTACTTTGTGTTGTCCAAGCATATAGATTATTGTTAGTATAGCTCAATGTATTTTGTGCTTATAAATTTGTAGGATTTAATTACACTATTAAAACGATGGACTATAAAGACAACAATTTTTTTTGACTGGATAACGAGTGCCTGTGATATATTTTTGGCACATTTTTGTGGTTAATAATTAATTTTTAAAAATACTTCCTGCCAATTTGCATTAGTAGCACCATGGAGGTCCTCCATGGTCGCACACAACCAGAATACCAGTGATGGTATAAGTACAGTGGTTCAAAGTTGCAATTTTAATTACACTACAGTCTTCTTAGGAAAAGAGCTGGGGTTTGTCTCCTGATGTATTCACTGTTGCAGATTCCAAAATCATTTGGAATGTTGAATGTAGCAAATTTACTGAAGAAGTAGTAGTTTAATAGGAGAATTCATTGCCACATTCTCTTAAAAGAGTCATAGTTTGGTAGGTTCCTTATTAACTTTATACTACCGTACTTAGGCCATATTACTTTCTTTATCTTAATGCTTTCCTGTTTCCAAAAATCTAATGCGGTGTGCAGTGTTTTTTATTTTTTTTTCGTATGTTTTAATAAAATTCTACCATAAACCCTCGAATTGAAGCCCACTGTAACATCAATCTGCATTATGGAATGTATTTAAAGCATTAAATCACCTAAACTACTGTATAAACGAAGCTTGTATTTAATTTATTTTGTTTTCTGAAATTCATGTATAGTATATGTACTGTACTATCTCGAAAAGAAACATGCTCTCTTGAAAAGGCTAATTTTGCAAACTAAAGAGAGGTGCTTTAATTCGAGATGGGCTTCATCTTGAGATTAAGCCCGCTGGGCTTCCAATTTGAGGTTTTACGGTATTTAAACACCATGAATAAACTACGCTGATGCAAACTGCATTTCAGTCATCATCTTTATTTTCTATGTTGTCTGCCATCAATTAAAAACAATATTATATACAATTTTCAAATCGTTTGGGGTAGTCTTCTCGAATAAAGCTGACATTATCACTTAGACGGTCTTACAAAAATCACACCTCTAAGACAGTTGCTATAAAATGGTTTTCGCTTAGACCGCACTGAGTATTAACACACAAACAAGCACAACAAACACCTTATTTAGTATTTATTATGTGTATCAGCGCCCTCAATTTTATGTTACCAGGGCCTGCAAAGATCTTATAAACACAAGATAGCGATCTCCGTAATTTACGCGTGCAAATTCTGTAATAACGCATGAACGCCCATGAGCGCCCTATTGCAAAATTGAAAACTTTTGAACCTTGACCGCTCTGACCATAGTCTATGCCGCACGACTTTACGTTTACGCGTAACAATTAGAAGCATCCGATTTACAATGTGCCCTCTCTTTAGAACATAAGGAACAAAATAACGTACTTGGTAACAAACTTTGGCGTAATGCGAACACCCTATCTCAGATCCATGGCAACGACTAGGACGGCCTCTCCCAAAACTGATTACTTTCCTGTGACAAATCGACGCTTCTATTTGTTATGCGTAAAAATCACGGAGAACGCCATTTTGTGTTTATAAGATCTTTGAGGGCCTGGTAATATAAAGTTGAGGACCCTGATGCACATCATCAGTAAATTATTTATCCACGTCCCATTGGCAGACTGCTCAGTAGTGGATTGACCCCTTTCTAAAGATAAACTCATAAAATCTGTTATTTTCGCATGAGCGTGATTGGAGATTGCTGAAATGCTTTGGTTCTGTTTTGAAATTACCCACCTCAGCCCCCACCATTTTTTGGACTAGAACAAGAGAGTTTTAAGGATATGGCATCCCTAGATGCCTAGATGCCTGGAAGTTGCATTCTAATACTGTACTTTAATAACATTTCAAATGTCTTGATTTCATGTTTAATGTTCAAAATTAAAAAATGCTAAAAAACATTTTTTTTTCAAAATTATTATTTATATAATAATTTCAAAATTGAGTTTCCAGTGTTTTGTATGAAAAATATGAAAAAATCACATCTTGCAAAATGTCATAAAGTTAACACATGCAACTTGAGAAAGTGAATAAATCATTTAAATTTTCAAGTCTAATCGGTCGTCAACAATTTGAATACAAAATCAAATAAAGCATGTCTCGTTTTAGCATCTCCCCCATTGTATCTTGTGAGCTATCCCCATCCATGGGTTTAGCCAGAAAAAAAGAAATAGGCCGTCCAAAATGGAAGACAACGAACTGAGCGGGGGTGGGTGAGTGGTATTTGCTAAAGGTGAACCAGGCCCAACTAGGCTAGGCCAAGCTGAGTAGGCCAAGCCGTCACAGTGAAAGTGGCCGTCATAAATAATTGTTGACCAGACAGCTCACTGGCTAAGCCCTAGTCCCCATTGTAATTTGGTAGGTTTTGTTTTATTTTCATTTTAATGTGAATGTGGTATAAGACGTGTTGAATTCTAACGATCAATCCTTTTACAGGTTGAAGTTATCAAACGAGTTTTGTCACATGATCTGGGTCAACACCTTGTCAACATAAAAGACGAGAATGCTTTGATTGAGGGCGGTAATGTGCTATTTACAGGTATGTTTATCCTAGTTGTTACTTTCTTACAGTAAGCCCATAAAAAGGTATTCTGGTTGGACTTATAAACTGTTCTAAGGAAGTAAGAGAAATATGTTGGTGTTCAGTAAAACAACTTTTTTTTTAGCATTGTCACTGCCTATGAATTAAAGCAAAATTTCCGCAGTCACGGAAAGTTTTTTCAAATAAAAATAAAATTTTATAGAATAAGATGCATGTTGAGTGCAGTATAATAATTTTATTAAAGGGACTATTTGATGTAACAAAACTAATGCAACATTCTGGGATGTCACCAACTTTTTGGAGTGCCGGTCGGCGATCATCCCACATTTTGGGGTGGGGGGGGGGTCGCCGTATTCGTGAAAGCTCTTAAAAACCAAAAGGCCTAAGTCAAGCAGGCCTATGCCCAAGGCTAGCTGACGCGATTTTTTTAAGCTAGGTCCAGGTAGGCCTAGGCCAGAATTTGAGGAATGCAACAAAATAGATGAAGATGAGGCTTACTGTAGGCCTAATTAAATTCAATAGTTGACATGCTTTGTTTTAGATTAAAAAATAATAAAGAACAAATCCCGGCGACAAAGCGTCGATCCGACTGTCAACTTCACATGCTTGGCATGTGTGCAGACCATGCTCTCATAATAAAACACTTGAATGGTCACAATTTCAACTTTAACCTTTGAATGTGTACAGCAACCGTGTCATGCCGGCCCGCGACGTTCGCTTTGACTCAACTCGGCCTAGGCTGTTAAGTTAGCGATGAATAGCAGGCAGTGCAGTATATTGTTACAATTAACGTAACTACGGAAACATATATTGTATTCTTCTTGTCTTTATCAGGTTAGCT